AATATAAACTATGACATTTATAAATATATGAATCATATGGTGAAAAGCTGACTTTGAAAAATAAATCTGTTCTTTTTTTTCTTATAAAAGGCTAAATAAAACAAAAATACTGGTGGTAATTTTTGACTGTGTAACTTTACAAACGGCACCCCATAAGCAGCGTACAGCAGTACCCAACACAGCAGTCAGGCCTCAGTATAAGGCCTTGGGCCGCATCTGAAAACCCAAACAAAGCAGCCTGAAACTTTAGGCAGAGACTCTCTGCACAACTCACAACTTCTAAAAACACTTCTTCCTACTCAAACAATAATGAACTGACCTTATAATGTCAGACATAAAAGGTAACACCTCCAGGGGTGTTAATCATTTACAAAATTTCTCTCAATGCAGTCCCTTGTAACTTTCTCCATCTCCTCCTAGGAAGCCTCAGGCCAAAGTCGATACATGATCTCTTTAGAGTTTTGGGTTTGTCTTTAGTCATTGAGGAATCTGGTCAGATGCCCAAATCACCTGAACTGAATCCTTTTGAAATGGTGGAGCAGCAGGTTTATTCTGAGCTCATGACTGATGGAGCACCAGTAACTCTGTGGAGGAAGACTGGTTTAGCCACTTGGATACAGGCTTTTGTTTTTTCAATCCTGATCCTGAACTACAGTATTTCTTTAAGCAGGCGAACAGACAGTCAATAAGTGAGTAAGAGAGTGATATAAATGATATTAAGTAAAGCTTCAGGGAGAAGCTGTCTGAAGTTGTTCCTGTACCTCTGCAGACGGATGGTGAGTTCAGTCAGAGACTGAAGGAAATGGGAAGCAGCAGTGGAGGCCTGCTGGCGCAGACCTCTCCCCCTCCAGCCCAGCTCCCTCTGCTGGATGTAGTTGTTCTGAAGCTTCCGAAACAATTCAGAGATCATCTACAAAACCACATTAAGCAAACACAATAATAAAAATCCAGTTTCAAAAGTCATCCATGATCATCCATAAGCAGCTTTGTTCACAATAAAGAAACATAGCAGCTAGAGAACTGTGAAAAGTTTTGTCTCTTTTTGTTTTGTTGCTTTTTCTCACACAGGTCAACAAACAAACATTGAATTCAGACAAAGAAGAAATGTGAAGTAAAGGCCCTTTTTGTTAAATCATGAGTTAGCAGATGTTTTAAAAACTGATTTTAGTAAAGCAAGCCCCACCCTGGCCTGATTTCTGTCAGACCTGAAGAAATTACTTAAATCCACACATAGAGTGGAGAACCTTCCCAGGAGGGGCCGACTGATCTGCACACCTCACTTTTCTCAGTGGTTGGGTGAAGGTCCAAGTTCATGATTCAACAATAAGAAAAAAAAACGAGGGGCAAAAATTACCTCCATAGAAGAGTTTCAAAACCAAAAACCACAACTGAGCAAAAGCTTCACAAAGAAATGTCTCACATTAAAACATTCTTACCAAAAATATTTTCCGTTATCGGGTGCGGCGG